ATCCAAACCGACATAATTAGACCAAAATCGAGTTGGAGATGCTTTAGTATTTATGTATGTGAAACTATGTTTATGTGTAAGAAAAAATTATTTTATATATGTAAATGTGTATGAGAGAGTATTATGTATCAAAATATATGAAATAATTGATTGGGTCTTATTTGGGTTATGGGTTTGAATTGATCAATATGATCCAATCCAACATCAACCCAATTTATGCTTGGACGACTTGGGTATAATTCAAATAGATAAAACCTAACACCAACTCGTCCAAAAGTCGCCCAACCCTCACCTAAACAAATAATTCCTCAAACCTATCAAGTAATGTAAGCTCAACCCAATATACAAATAAGTAGCTTGTCTATATTAGGGTTGTAATCGAATCTGCTCGCGGGTAGCTCAATTAAAAACTTGACTCAAACTCAAGTTGACCGATTTCGAGTTGAGTTCGAGTGGCTCAATAGGGCCAAACGAGTCAAGTTTGAGTATTGAGTAGCAAGACTTGAAGGTTTGTCGAGCCTTATCGAGTTTTTAAATTTTAATTTTTTAATATATTAGTATTATGAAATTACCCTTGTGCCCACAAGAATGGTTAAATTTATGAAATATTTTAGGTTGTATAAAATTTTTTTGAAGGATGATAATGTCTTTTAGCTTAAAATTTATCAAAAAAAATGAAATCTTTAAATATTCCTAACTCAAGTTCGATAAGGCTTGCTTTGACTCGACCCTATGCGAGTCGAGTTTGAGTTCTACAAGCATTGCATCGAGCATCGAGCTCGAGCTCGAGTTCTAGTAATGCTACTCGCTCGAGCTCAAGCTCAAACGAGAGCATCCTTCCTAAAAGTCGAGTCGAGTTCGAGTATGGTGATACTCAGGCTTGACTCGGCTTGATTACATCTCTAACTTATATTGTCAAATTGTAAATTTATATTTACTACTTGCATCCCTACATGCTTCAATCTAGAATAATAGTCTTTACCTTAGATGTTAGTAAAGCAACCGTTCATACCATAAGTGACTAGGTTCGTCCATTCTTCACCTTTGATATTGTAACATGAAGCAGTTAAATTGATTTCATTTAGTGGGTCTCACTAGACAAAAAGGAAAATTCTATTAAGTAACTATATTTAGATGATATTTAATCAATTTAAATTTAATAACATTATGCAAAACCTATAGAGTGCTTTGACTTGATTATTTTAACTAAAAAGAATAGGAATAAATGCTCACATTCAGTTCACCGAGTCATATTTTTACTTAACCAGATCGAACTTGTGTTGGGCCTTGGGAGAAGTGACATGGGGTAACATTCATGCACACATGGTTCCATGGTGGGGTAATTAAAATAGCTACTATATTTTTGTAGTAAGAAAAATGATATTATAGTAGGCAAACGAATCAGCGATAAAAGCAAAGTAAAAGATGACTCACTTCTTAGTTTGTTGTTACTCCCACATCTTCTGTGTGTAAGCATGTCGAGATTTTTAGTTAATTTTTTAAAACAGAACTCTTGTAATAATACTACTTATGCAGTGGCAAACAACATATATATACATCTAGTTTTTATATGCCAACACAAGTTGGCTCAGTGTGCAAGAACAGATGACTTTCTCACAAAATATCATGTGTTCATCAAATTTCACTAGAGCTGTGTTGGTGGGCGAATCCCACTGTTGATATGAGGGCATCCGGGAGGCATGATGGGCGACCTATATGGTCTCGAAGGCATATCCTAAATCTAATACGCTTATTTTGAACATACTCCATAGCTAATTGTTCTACATGTAATTTGAATGTACTCCATAGGTAACGGAGGCATGTAGTCAGCATGCTGCAACAAAGCACATAGTTAATGGTGGGGAGCGAGACTTTTCTGAGGGAAGTTAGAAGCCTATCACACTGTGAAACATCCAAATTTAGTGACTCTATTGGGATATTGTAAAGAAAGAAATGGTGAGTGCTTCCTCATTTATAAACCCAATAGGAAACTGGTAGAATAGTTATTTGGTACGTTATCCTATTGCCCGGGACATCTCCTGCTTGTTTAATAACACCTCCATTCGCTTATACTACTATTTTGCTATCCCTAATATTTTTATTATTTGTTAAGGAAAATAACTATTTTATTCATTTTAAAAAAATTTATTATTATTATTTTTTAAAGTTCAAGTATACTTGAGTTTGACTTCGACTAGATTCGAATTTGAGGTCAATTTCAAGTTCCAGTTTTACATTGAAAGTTCGTCAAGTTAGAACTTGATAAAATGGAGTCAAGACTCGACTCAATTAAATCAAAACTTGACTTGATTCGACTCGTTTGCAGCCTACTCCCAAAGAAACTAGGGTAAAATACGTAGAACCTTCCTGTGGTTTGCCTATTATACATGAAACTCCCTCATTATTTAAAAACACCCACATAACCTGCTTGTGCTTTGGACTAATTTGGAAAATGGACAAAAATCATCCAAATTGACGGAAAGATGTAAATTTTCTATATTAACCCTATTTCCAAACTAAATCAAAGGTCAACTTAGGGCTCAGTTAAAGTTTTAAAAATTTTCTTCCTTCATTTGAAACAAAGGTAAAAGTAAGGGGCTCATTTGAAATTTTATAAGATATATCATCTTCTTCGAGGAAATGCCAGACCGTTCTGGGCTTTTGTTTCTTCCTTTTTTTTTTAAACATTTTTCCTGTTTTCCCTTTCCCCTTTGATTTTCCTTTCTTTTTCTTGCCCCATCAATCCAGCCAACACCACATTTTCATTGCTGCCATCTTCTCGCCATCTTTATTTTCAACAGCATCTCTATCACCGCTAGTCTAGATTCATGACTTTTTCATGTGTTCTTCTGTAAAATTAAGAACCCAAATCTAAGCAGCAACTTTCTTTGGAGACTTGGGTTGCTTGGTCTCTTTCTCTTCTGAATCATTAGTTTTCTTAGGCGATAAAACCGGCTCTTTCCCCTGCATCTTCATCACCAATCGTTCGAAGGTCTTGGTCCCATGATAGTTGATTAGGAGGCTCTGGCCTCTCAGTATTCCAAGCAAGCCAAAAGGGTCTTCACGCTCCAATTACATGAAGGCAGTGGACCTCGATTTCTCCTTCTTGCCCATTGGTTGATTTTTATATTTTTGCTTCCTTTTTCCTTTCCTTCTATTCGTCCTTCAACTAATACCACCGACAAATGACCATCATCAGATCTAATTTTGCTATTCATGTTTCTATTGAATTTGTGATTAATTTGAAGTTGATAATAGAGCCACTATGTGATTGATATATTGGAGGCTTTTGGTGTTAGGTTGGGATCATTGATTGAGAATTTTTTGTTAATATTTTGAGACTATTAGATTGAGAACTTTTGTTGTTATTTTGCGCTCTATCTAATTTGGAAATTTTTTGGTGTTATTTTGGGATAATTGAGCGATAGAATCAGTGATGATTGGTGGTAGAGTTGCTGGTGATTGGTGGCGATGGTGGAGCTATTGGTGATCAGTGGCGGTACTGATGATGATTGGTGTTCATCAGTGTCGTTGATCATTTTAGTGTTGTTGACCAGTTTGGTTGTGAGCAGGGAAGAAATAGAGAAGGAAAATAAACAAAAAAAAAGAAAGGAAATAAAAAAAGGAATTGACAAAAAACTGCAAAATACTGAATTGTGCTTGATAATGTCACTTGAAACTCATTTAATACACGAGTGTATCTCAAACTCCGTTATTTTGGATGCTTTTCATCCAAGTTCCAAAGAAGTCCAAAGTATAGGGAAGTTATGTGGGAGTTTTTAAATAATGAGGAAGTTTTTATGTACAATTGATAAATCATAGGGGGATTTATTGTATTTTACCCAAGAAACTATGATAGCGTGAAAAGACAATAAAGAAAAAAAAAAGGTTCAAAAATTGTGAAATAACCGGACGAATCAATTGGAGCCTCAATTTCAAACTCCAACTCTTACCATAGGTTTGATTGATAAGATATAATTAGGGCCAAATTTACGGTACTCTTTGATAAGATATAATTAGGGCCAAATTTATTGGAATTAGCCTATCCTAATTCCTAATTCTAAAACACATAGGTTTTACTATAATTAGCCTGAATATTTCTTCAAGATATTTCCATAGCTAATTTGGGAGATAAGATTTGAGCAGAAAAGAAAAGAAGGGAAGAGAAAGGTAAATGTTTCTAATATTTGGGAGATTAAGGGTCTGTTTGTTTGGGTGAAAAAGGTTTTCCGAAAAACATTTGCCATATTTTTCCATGTTTGATTGTCAATTAATTTGGAAAAATAATTTTTGACAAGAAATAAGTTACACCCTAAGGAGGAAAATAACTTCCCCATCTATCATTGGGCTAATTACTCAGAATATTGTTGAAAAAAGGAAAAGTTTGACATATACAGGTCTAACAATGGGGTACTGCAAAATTATGACTGCTGTCAGCCCAACAGCCAAAAAAGCGAATTTTTTTTTTTAAAACTCTGACACTGCTGCCGGACTAACAAAAAATTGAGCCCGACAGCTAGTTCAATTTTTTTTTTTAAAAAAAAAAAAAAAAAGCCCGAGCGGCAGCCAGTCCAATTTGAAGTGTCTTCGCAGAGTCCATTTATCAAAACACTCATACAAAAAACTATGAGTTATGAAAGGGCAGCCAGTCCAATTTAAAGAAAAAAAAAAAAAGCCCGGCAGAATTCTGTTAAAGATGTCTCAATTTTTTCTTCACCACGTTAAAAATCTGTCAAAGCGCCCTTCTCCTCCCCTTCGTTCTTCTCTTGCCCGTCGTTTCTTCCTGGCATCATCCATCCCCCACCTGTCACTCTCTTCTCCCTCTTCTTTTTCTTAGTTCTTAGCCTCCTGTAACATGCGCCTTATTTATTAGTAGTAGTAGTTTTAAGTGACCCAATAATCCCATACCCAGAAGCCAATTTTTTCCCCCTTCCCATCAAGCAACAATTACCCTGTTTCAACAATCCATTTTTATAAATTATGTCCGTTTCCTTGGACATTTTCTCTGCTAAATCTTGCGGATTCTGAGCAATCTGGGAAAGGCCCTTTTGTTCACTGTTTCAGTGAAGAAGGGGTTTTGTAATAAAGGTATGATGTTTTTCTATTTGAGATATGAATTTTGACATTGAAGATCTACTTCCTGTTTGTGTTGCTATTGATTTCTGTCAGCCGTTGGGCTTGTTTGATGTTTGACTGATGGCTATATCTGGTCTTTTTTGTGTATTTTTTAATGGGTTTTTACCTAACATTTTAGTTTTATAAATCTCTCCTCTGATGGTTCATTTAAGGCTTGATATGCCAATGTTTGCAATTGGTTATTGTCCAAGTGAAAACCAAAAAAAAAGGGAAGGGAATTGCAATTGGGGGTTTTATGATTGTTGGAGTCAGAATCCGGGTAGGGTAGGGTAGGCTAGTGTTTTTCTTACAATCTGGTGAGACCATTTGTAAAAGTTTTAGTGAATTCATTGAGTTTGTGAAGCCACTGGCTGGTTCTTGCCGTAGCTGCTTGATTGAAAAGGGAATATAACCGTGGAAACACTTCTGTCTTAATATACTGAAATCTTTCCTCAAACGAAATGAAACACAAGCAGGGCAGCTTCCCAAGTCATGAGATTCCAAGACACTTCTGTCTGCTGTGTTTCTAATTTACCAACTACAGTCTCCAGTCCATCCTTCCACCTCTAACCCCAGCCACAATCCACCAACAAACTTCTCTGTCCCTGTGTTACCTGTTTTATTTTTATGTATGTACATTGCTAGCAGTTCATAGGCATGATCCCATAAATCAGATTTTGAAAGAAAATGGATTTTGCTATTTCAACAGGCATGATCCTATGGTGTTTTTAGCTCTGCATTGCTTGGATGCAGAGAATTTTTGCAATTCTGTTGAGCATTTCAAGTATATAATTGTCTGCCCTTTTGATTTGGTTAACTGATTGCATCATAGCTGCTTATCATAGGTTTCTAAGGAAGTTTTAACCTTCTTAAGACAACTTTGAAAGTTTATGAGAATTCGCCAAAGTCATTTTCAGCACAATATGTTTATGGACATCTATAATGGTCATTCAAATTGGTAAGTTTTCATGATCAGTGCGTTAAATGGAAAAAAATCTACTCAATTTACACTTTGCCACGAGATTAACGATCATCCTTACAGCGAAAACCACGGATCTCCACATGGTGTTCCCTCTGCTTTCAAGAAAATCCATATTTTAGGCATTCTAGGCATCCTGATATGGAACTCTAATGCATAGTGAGGATTACTGTCCTTGTGATATATACAACAAGAAAGTTGATCTTGGTCATTTCTCTACTAGTAAAACTTGTTCGAGTGGTAAAGAAATATTTACATTCGACCTTCTAAACTGATTTGAGGTTTTGGTGATCCATTTAACAGGGAATGTCAAATATTGGATGTTAGTTAAAGAAGGATAGGAAATCGTTACCTTAACAGATTACTAAATAATTTTGGTCCTTTTAGCCTTTTCTGTCTTGACTACTGTGGCTCTCATTGATTTGAGGTCTGTCTTGACTACGTGAAGCAGTTCTTATTAACAAAAGTACATATACTTGTTTTCTCTTGGTCGTGTGATATCAATTTCCACTTGGGCAAGTAATTCACCTTCTCAAATCTACCCAGTTTTTGAGAAGAAAAATTCCATTTGCCAACGTCTTTCCACTAGTCCTCCCAGTTGTGAAATTTTGAGTGGCTGGTAATTCAATGTTTTGGTCTGTACTTTTCAGTTTGGTTGTTTTGGCAAGTAGTCCAAGGAAGAAACAAATACCTGTCTGGCTTGGTCGACTGGAATATTTGCGGACCATGTGCGAGATGTAATAGTCGATGGCATGAATTTCTTATATCATCGTGTATATGTCAGTCACTATCATTTTTTTTACGTTATAGCTATTACATATATCACAATGATTTATAAGTAAATTATAGTTCCAGGTCTGTTTCCTCTTTTATACTCTTATTTTTCTTGGGAACAGAGAAAATCCAAGCCCCATCAAAAAATAGCAAGACAGAGAAAATCCAGAAAAGGGAACAAAAGAAAAAGGAAAGGGAAAACATAGCAAAAGACTGGGCGGAGGAATTGTAGCTCGCTGCCAGCACCGGAACTTTCCACCACCACCTGCGAATCTTCACCGAGAGAGAGCACTGTAAGCTATCCTTTTCCTTTAAATTTCAGTTTCTCTTCAAGCTCAGACTCTTGAAGCTCTCAAAGCACATCTTTCTTGAATTTGTCTATTGCAATTTTCCTGTTGATTATCCACGATTTTGTGAATATACATGCTTTATGTGTTGATTGGATTGAAATCCCTTGTGTTTCTGAGAATTTGGAGGCTAGTTATAACTTCGATTGAGCAGGGAATCGTTGAATTTCTTCATGCCCATTTATTGTTTGATAAAATGCCCAACTGAAAGTTCTACCTGAAGGACGATTGACCTGCATTTTGCGTGTGAGGAAAACGAATGTTCAGCAAGTTCAATGCTTGTCAAAACATAATAGTTGATTTTCAGGGTAGAAAGGAGAGTTTTGAGAGATCTTGATGTGCTTTCTTTTTGCACCTTTTTCAGTTTTTCTTTTTCTTATCCTTTCCTTTGTATGAACTCAAGTTATGCCATGAGATTGTGTGAGAGGGAGCTTGTGCGAGTTTCATTTTCTTTTGGGATTGGCCAGAGTCGAACTTTCTGGTGTTTTTCATCGGAGAAGAAGGACGAAACGGCAGCTGACGTTTAGCCCGTTTGGAGAAGATGATTATTTGTCTAAATTTATAATTTCAGTCCCTCAATTTTCCCGTTCTTTGTGATTTAATTCCAGAGTTTTAGAACTTCATAATTTGACCCCAGAACTTTACTTTTATGCTTTCAGTTAGGTCCTTAGCCATTATTTACTCAACCATTAGTTTACTTAGCTTTTTTATTTGCCAAGTCAAGTTGTAGTTATTTTATTTTTCTTTCATAGAAGTGATAACACCCATATAAGGGGCATAGGAGCATTTAATTTTTGTAAATTTCTTTTTCTTTTTCCTTTCTTTTCTTCTAGTTATAGTCAACCACTGTTTATTTTGTCGTGTGTGATCAAGTGGGCCACGAGCGCGTTATCCCATGGCTTTTCCAATGTAAGTCATGGAATTAGTCATCTCCTTCTACATTGTTTTGATGTGTTATATTTGCTTTTATTTAGACAATCTTTTATTGCATGTTATGTGTTTAGTTTAAATTAACTCAATTTTGGCCTTAAAATTAAAAGAATAAAATTAAACTTGCAACCAGCTTTGCCAGGTGTAGGGGGGTGCTCAAGGATAAAGTCTCGACCTTCCCCCCTCACAATTGTAGCTCCCGAATTCATTGCTTTGATTTCGAAAGACCTGGAGTTGTCTGATTAAAGGGTTAAATTTGTGTTTTTTTAAAAAAAAAGAAAGAATTACCTTTTTTAAGGTGACTTGGTACGCCTAAATCCAATACCGAGAGGCAACTCCAAATTGTTGAAAAATCCTTTTTCAAGACTTTAGTGGGCCCAAACCCGTTGCCTTTGCCAAGTCCCATTTTAGGCGCTTTTTCTTTTTATTTTCCTTATTTTTTTAAAATCAATTTTAAACAAAAATTCTAAAACCATTTTTAACCTAAAATTTTTATTTATTTATTTTTAAAAAAAATGGGGCTCAACAACAGTTACATAAAGAACAAATTTTTTAAACCTGAAGGTCAATGAAAATTTATTTATGGTGCAGTTTCATATGATTTTAGTGTTCTATCAAATGATGCATATCTTGATTTTTCAGTACCATAATAACTGCCACTGCATTATTTGTACGCAGGAATAAAGAGCAGATTTAAATTCATCATGGGCAGCGATAGGAGCAGTAGAAGCAGGAGGGAAATATCCTCATCCAAGTCCAGTCATAATCGTGGCAGCGATGATGACAGACATCAAAAGAAGAATAGAAAAATCACTGAGGATGATATTGCCGAGTACTTGGCAAAGAAAGCTCAAAAAAGGGTAACTCTGTTTGTTTTTATCTTTATAAGTACCATTTGGTTTATCTTCTTTTACTTTAATTTGATTGACACTATTTCATTCAGCTTCAACCTTTTTTTTAAACTTTAGGCAGCAAAAGTTGCAAAGAAATTGAAGGCCCAGAATATTTCTGGATATGGTAATGATTCAAATCCATTTGGAGATTCCAATCTAAATGAAAGGTAAATTATATTCCTCTGTATTTTGAATTGCGGACATGTCAGGAATGTATGTTAGTGTTGGTAACCAAGTTTGCTTTAACTGTGTTTTTATTTTGAAGTTCAGAATGAGGCTAGATAATTTTATCTTTGTTTAGGCTTTGGTGTGGAGGTTTTTTTTTTTACCATGACCACCATTGAAATGATTGTGGTATCTTTATTCATGATGCCCTGTACATTTTCTGATTGGTCATGGGCTCAAAAAGCTGGCTTTATTTTGTCAACGAGCACCTATGTATGGAGAAACGTATTTGAAGAACAGAAATTTTGCATTTTCACTATAAGATTCCAGGAAAGTTTGCTTTGGTAGTGCATTTTTACCTTTGTGTGAAAACTCAGGCTTGTAAACTAAAAGGATGAGTAGAATGAGATATTAGATAAGAAATAGTAAGTCCCTTTCAGAAAAAAAAGAATTCAAGCTAGAGATTTGAGATTCATGGTTGATACTTAGGATCATAGAAACATTTATGACTGATAGGAAGAGAAAAGGATACTTTAACACTCTCATCAATATTGAACAAGAGGGGAAATTAGTTCACTGTAATCTATAGACTCAATCTTTCGGTTAAAGGTTGACTAAGAAGGGCATCTAGCTGACACTATGAAATTTAGCCTATAGCTTGTTCAAACCTTAGGCCCTGAGTGTGATTCAGCAGGCTTTTCTTATATTTTATGTTTATGAAGAAGTTTGTATTTTGGAGAACATTGTTTACATAGTTTTATGTGATAGTTCAAATAGGCTAGTGCATCTTAGGGCAATTTAGTACCTCTTTGGTTAGTGAACTTGGTGATGGTTTTCCTTCTTCCCACCCTTTCCATCTGTGTTTGTGCCTCTGTGTGCTTCTTCAGTAACATAAGGCTAATAGCCTATGTGCATGTTCTCATTTGTATATTCATTTAACCTATTTAATTAATGCATGAAGTAGTTTTGGACACTGTATCAGTTTTTCTCTTGTTCAAAAGATGGGGCTAGGAGAGCTTATATAAAAGTTTTCCACCAGAATCTGTGGACAACAATATTGAAAAATTTATCATAGTTTACTATTTTGTTTTTGAAAAAATCTAGTTGTCCCTTGAATTTTCTGTGTAAAAAATGTCCCCTTGCAGATTTGTGTGGCGCAAGAAGATTGAACGCGATATCACCGAAGGCATGCCACTTGAAACGTTTTCATTAAAGGCAGAGAAAAAGAGACAGAGAGAAAGAATGGTATTTTATAGACTAGTATTGCTTTTTTTTTTTTTTATGTTCCTTAGAGTAAATGAAGCATGCTGTATGAAATACTGCACTTGACTGATTGGTTACTGGTACATGCATCTCTCACTCCTACAAATCATGATTATCTTCATTGTCCAATAAATCGTTTCCCAATCGTTTCCCCTCTTGTCGCTTTCTTTCACAAGTCAGAGCATTGAGATCTGTTTTTTTATGTACAGGTCTGCATCCCTTACTTTACTCACCTAAAACCCAGCAGTAGTAATTCTAGTTTCATGTATTCATAATTTGATTTTTTTTTCCAAATTCCTCCTTGAAGTGTTCCAGTTGTGCAATGACTGCAGCAGTTTCATGAAAAATATTGAGAAGACGTTTACTTTTTGTTAAGTTAGTACTCAATGGAATTAAAATTGTAGGCAGAGATTGAAAAGGTGAAGAAAAGAAGGGAAGAAAGGGCTATCGAGAAGGCACAGCATGAAGAAGAAATGGTAATATTGTTTGTCTTTGGTATCTAAAGTTCTTGATGACGGATTTTAGGACATACTTTCTGATTTATCAATGTTTCAGCATTTTGGCAATTTTACCATGTTTTGATTGAACAGGCATTATTAGCAAGGGAACGTGCTCGAGCTGAATTTCAAGACTGGGAGAAGAAAGAAGAAGAGGTGGATGTCTCAAATCTTTCATGACCTTTGTTTCTTTTGCAATATGTGTAATAAAATTTTCTGATAATTAAAATATGAAACAGGGAAAAAGAAGCTTCTTCAATTCTTTGCTGTAAGGTGGATGTTTTGCTCATTCCAATTCTGCTATGTTAACTCATTTTATTGCTTGCAGTTCCATTTTGATCAAAGCAAGGTTAGGTCAGAGATACGGTTGCGAGAAGGCCGCACTAAGCCGATTGACATTCTTACTAAGCATCTCAATCCTTCAGATGACTTGGATATAGAAATAAATGAACCATACATGGTCTTCAAGGTAATTATTACTTGTTTTCTCTAATGCAGTGTCTTGCTATCATAATGATCCTTGACCATCTTTGTCCTCTTTTTCATATGCTTCACTATTCAATTGACTGATTAGCTACTAATATGTGCATTCTATCTCTATTATTAACCTCACACAAGAAGAACCAAACTCATGATCTTGCAAATTCATGTTTCTTTGAAGTAGTGACAGTATTACTTATCAGGAGAATATAGAGGCTTAAAATAGTACCAACTTCTGGGGTTAATAGGGTGTATGGTGCATGAATATTCTGTTAGTATAAATCATTTGGTGCAACTATTTAATTCCTGTCAAATCTCAGTAACTTATTTTGAGTACTATCCCAATCTAGTTTTGCTGCTACATAATAGCAATAATACCTGAAGTATTAATCATTTTTTCATCACGGGGGTAGGTGGGGAACCACTATTGATCCTCTTAGAAAAAAAAAATTCTAAGTAGTTTATACTTTTGAAGACATTTACTAGTCTTGCTGCTCAATTGGTAATCTGGATGCAATGCTTTGGCATCTCATGCTAAGTGAACTTGAGGCTGTACCCTCTTTCTTGGGTCACATTAGTCTCTTAAGTGCCATAGGAAAGGAATGCTGCTATGGCAGCAATGATACTCAAATCATTCTCATATTCTTATGGGGATGGGTGTCTCTAAACCTTGGGGGAAATTTTGCTCTAGAGGTCTTATGCTTTTTATGAGTAAATCTTTAAATCTTCATCTTTCAGTTCTTCTTTTTCTTTTTTGTTCTCTTGTGAGTATAATGGTCTATATTGTGAATCTGCCCAAGCATAAAAATGAAGATTGCATAGCTAATAGGTTTTCTACTGAGGAAAAGAAATCCAGTTGCATCTGGAAGCAGAAGGTGGGTTAAAATGGTGGTTATCCTTAGATGAACCTTGGATGTATGTTTTCTTGAGTGCTGACACTAAATTTTCCTGTTTTGCACAATTGAATGACATTCTTGTGTTTTTTATGCTTTCTTAAATGCTGACTATGAATTTGTCCTGTTCTGATAATTGAGTGGCATACCTGTGCTTTGGTGGTTCTGAACATTCTATGATTGTTATGTGCAATGCAGGGTTTAACTGTAAAAGAAATGGAAGAACTTCATGAAGACATTAAAATGCATCTCGACTTGGACAGGTCAACGCCAACACATGTCCAGTATTGGGAGGTAGTTCCTCTTTTCTTATCACCTGTTCTTTCTTTGTTGGGTCGAGGATTTATTGAGATGTATGCTCCTCTCTTAGTACTTCACTGGTATAGTATAGCATTTGTAACTCTTTTTATGAATCTTGGTTCTATTATATCCCAAAATAATGTTAATCTTTTAGCTAAAAAGCTGCAACTTGTGGATACTTGCTGATATTTTGGGTAGCCTGTGTGTTGTTTGGCGATTTACTTTCTATGATGCAAGTGAACATTTTATGGCTTCAGACAAACTAGCACTATGGAAAGTATTATCTTACTCTTGAAGAAACAATAGTGCTTCATGCAAAAAGTCCTATTAGTGGCAGATTGGAATGTAGTAGGCTCTTCTGCATTTATATCTGACTTATTGGTCCATTCTAATAAATCTAATCTGATAATTCAATGGTTGCACATTTGGTTATTCAGACCAAGGTGGTCAGGATGTTATGAGCAACTGCAGCAAAAATAAGCATTTCTTGCAAATTTGATGTAAGAGAGCTTAGAAAGTGCTCTGATTGCTAACATTTTCTGCTACTGAGGAAAATATTTCCTTGTTTGTTTTCTTTCTCTTTGATTCTTTGCTGATTACACGTTTCTAATCCCTCTCCTGATTGGTGGACACCCACTACCTCAATGAATTTGAACACGAATAAATAAATCGAGAGTCACACAATGTACAAAGGAAGAGCAATAAGTGAAAAGTTTCGAAAACAATGTGAATCATATCTTCAGGACATTGGCCTGGTGGCATGCTGTTGGAAGGAAATGATTGAGGAAGTAGAACTGGATTAAGAGGATGGAGGAAGTGGAACTGGATTAGGATGGTTTGTTTTTGGCTTAGTTGTTCATGGTGTAAGATAGACTCAATAAAATTGCTTCATAGTCATGATATTTGCTGCACAAGACCTTCAAGTTTGTTATGGTTGTGTAGGCTGGATAGGTGCTGCGGCCTTAGTAATCTGACCTTGCAAATGAATGGAAGTGTCTGGATATTGAACCTAGAAATCTGATTTTATGGTTGTTATTGAATTTTATGTGTAAATAATTGTTTTACCTGTATATTTAATTTATGTCATCTTTCATTTGGTCTTAATTGGTGAGACAGATGGATCACAACTTTCATCTGAATAATGATGCCTGATCTGCATACATGGGCAAAGTAAATTATCTGGTTGAGTGTGGTGGAATTATTCTTACCTGGAGGATTATTCTAATTGAAATTTTAACTCACATAAAGGTGTTAGGATAGTTGTTGGAAGTTGACTAGGTTGTTGAATTTGTGTCAAATCAATTTGTTATGTGAATCAGCTACAACTTCTAGTAACTTGTATAAAGTGTTCATACTACCACATATCGAGCTAGTGTGTTAGTTGTTATGAAATCCTAGGACTACTTGTCTCCGTGAGTGAAACATTCTACTCTATGTGAAATATCCTGCGTTTTCAATGTCTTTGCAAATTCTCTTTTCAGACTTCGTTTCTTTCCTTCTTTGATAGTGTATCTTAATTTTATGATAATTTTTTTAGTATCACATTGTGAAAGTTGTTTGTTCATCTGTTTCTCGATCACATGTCAACAACCCAAAACTGGTTAGATAATCTGTTGAGACATATAATCTCAGCACAGGTGTATACCTGTCCTTAACTTAGTTAAAGCTTCAGCTGATTGATTTGTTGTCAAGATTGTTTATCAAGTACGTTTTCATGTTGCGCTTGTGGTTTTTTTTTTTGGGGGCAGTTTTTGAACTTCTGGTTAACATCATTCGCAGTATAGATAAATGGTGTTTGAATGCTATAATCTAAATTTCTAATTAACTTTAGTTTGAAGATCCTTCTTAAACTATGTCGGAAATACTTGTAAACTTCTGGATGTAATTCCCAATTAATTCATATCTGTGCAAATTGGAATTGTTGCAGGCACTGCTGGTGGTTTGTGATTGGGAACTCGCTGAAGTTCGGAAAAAGGATGCTTTGGATCGAGCCAGAGTGCGTGGAGAGCGACTACCTCCTGAGTTACTTGCTGAAGAGAGGGGAATGCATTCAAGCATTGAGGCTGATGTCAAGAGGCTCCTACAAGGGAAATCCTATGTCGAACTAGAAGCTCTACAGTCTCAGATTGAGGCACAGATGCAGTCTGGTACAGCTAAGGTGGTTGAATATTGGGAAGCTGTTCTTAAACGTCTCCACATCTTCAAGGCTAAGGTAAACAGTGCAGTGATGCTTCTATACTGCTTTAGGGCTTGTGGTGCGCTTTGCCTGATTAATTCCTATTTCCAATTTCAGGCTTGTCTGAAGGAAATCCATGCCAAATTGCTACGCAAGCATTTACAGCGCCTTGAGAAACCTTTGGAAGTTGGAGATAGTGAAAGAGAGTTGACTCCACAGCCTGACGAGGAAGATGCCAGTAGTGATGGAAAAGGTGTTGAAATTTTGTCATGTTCAGGACTTCTCCTTCTACTTTTGCACCTTAATTTTTGGCTGACTTCTTCTTCTGTGCAGGTGTTGAAACACTCTCTCCTGAACCTATAATGCGTCAAGAGACTCCAGAGTTGGATGAAGAGGCTGGATCATATTCGCCGCAGTTGATTCATGGCGATGAAAATGAAGAAGCAATTGACCCAGAAGAGGATATGGCTATACTGGTAAGAACACAGAGATTGTTGTGCTTTTTATGTAGATTATCTGACTATGCTAAAAGAGAAGTATTGTTTTTTTCCTACAATATGCTGAAGCTATGCATATTTGATCCCTATGTATAGGAGAGGAAGCGTATGGCTGTCTTGGAAGAAAGGCGTCTCCAAGAATTGACCGTAAGGCCTACTCCTCCTGAGGATAACTTCGAGAAGAAAGCCATGAAAGCAATGGGAGCCATGGAGGAAGGTGATGCAGTATTTGGCTCGAATGACGAAATAAATCTTGATTCACAGGTATGTCAGCTTGCCTATATGTGTGCTTCTAGCCCGTGTTCATCAAAATTCTAGTTTCTCATTTTTCTTTCTCTAATTTGGTGTGGATGCAGGTCTATTGGTGGCATGATAAGTACCGACCAAGAAAGCCGAAGTATTTCAATCGTGTCCACACTGGTTATGAGTGGAATAAATACAATCAAACCCACTATGACCACGATAACCCGCCCCCGAAGATTGTACAAGGCTACAAATTCAACATTTTCTATCCAGATCTTGTTGATAAAGGGAAAGCTCCAACTTATGCCATCGAGAAGGATGGCGATAGTTCAGAGACCTGCATCATCAGGTTCCATGCAGGGCCACCTTATGAAGACATTGTAAGTTTCCTCCTCTGACTAACCTACAATTGCACAACATCATTTGGCTGGTCTTTTTGCTGGAAATTGCTTGAGCAAAACTGAGTCGGTGGTTGTTTCTGTACAGGCATTCCGGATAGTTAACAAGGAATGGGAGTATTCACACAAGAAAGGGTTCAAGTGCACATTTGAACGTGGAATACTGCATTTGTACTTCAACTTCAAAAGATATAGATACCGGAGGTGATCCCTTGGCTGTCTATTTGGAACAAGAAATGCTGCATCATAATTTTCATTTTCTTGAAAATTTTGTAGTACCATTTTTGGTTTACATGTTTTTGCCAAAGAGTAAATATTGACCCGTCTGAAAGTGTAGAAGCTGAATGTTTAATATTGGTTGTAAAACACAGTATTAGTAATTTACCATTTCGAAGAAACTCCAATTTATTTTCTTCACGAGTTTCCTTTTACGAAGGATTTGGTAGTAGTTCCCTTTTTGTACCAGCTTGGAGGTTTTACATTTTTAAGTATTCAAATTCAACCCAGACAGATTGCACTCTTTCTGTAGTTATTTTTTGGATTTTAAACTTGTAATTTCATTTCGTAATTTTACATAAAATCAGTATGTGAGTTAATAAATTACATTCACTCATCTTTACTTTTACTTCCACAATGAAGTTTCATAATCAACTAAGTTTTGATCATTTCAAAATCAAATCATTGTTTTCCTGGGCTGGATGTGGTTTTGTACAAAGCTTCGAATTGGCGTTTTTCAGAAGAGAGGGGGAGGGGGGGGGGTTATATTTTATACTAGAGAGGATTTTAATATTCAATAGAGAAAACTAAATTGGAAATTGAGCAAGTAAGAAACAAATATTATGGGTTGTTCCTCGGACTTGAGCCACAGCACATCCCACACGCTTATACCAAATATTTATTTTCCTATCTAGACCAAGCTGTAAACTTTATTTGAATTAGGTTTACCATTGGCCATTTTCTCCAACTGTCCATTTTAACACCCAATAATAAATTTGGATTGGGAGAAGGAAACAAGTTTAATTGGTCCACCGTTATATTTATTAAAGTATATTTGTTAAATTTGTGATCTAATCTAACTTGGTAACTTAACATGAAGTTTGGTTAACAAGCGTTCTAGGACATTTGTTAGGATAATTTCGAGATTTTGGAAAGTATTTAGATGCACGAGAGGGCAAATTAAATATGAGTGTGTGCATTCACATAATAAGTTATGTGTAATATAACTATATTATTAACCAATACTTCTCCAAACACTCCTTAGAAAAATCCTTTTACTTGATCGCGAGAATGTTATCCAAAGAAAGAACTTTCATAGTTGGAAACCAGTATGCTGAAAACTTCTTGAAAATGTAAGGTGTAGTAGGCTTGTAATCCTCTAAGATGGAAAAAAAATGTGTGCATATCACTTGGGCATCCTTTGAATTGAAGGAAATGAACCCAATGGGAAGGAGAGGACTTCAATGGAATAAAAGAAGGAAAAGTAGAAAAAGAAAGGAATCTCTAGTATATATTGTCTAGAATGGGAAGTAAAAGAAAGGGAGGGAAAAGATATATTATTTATTTGATCTTTTTCTTTATGGTGAGTGAAGAAATTGGAAAAAAACCACTAAAAAATTAGTAAATATTAACAAACATCAGTACACAAAATTAATATTCAAAAAATCTCAATTGTATTGTGTAGCCTTGCGCGAAGTTCACGTAAAGATTGATCCTCCCAATGCGTTGACTTGTTATTGGGAGTTAAAAAGAAAAGGAAATACTACAACTAAACACACACTCCAACAAGAATTTCTTAGTCTTCTCATTGAATTTTGTTCTTTTAAATGCACTTTTTTTTTATTTCTAAGGAGATTTTTTTCTTCCATATAATGAATGCTTTGTGTGAATTTGCAATATAACTCTCACTAACAGATACAGAACCAAAATTCTTGCTGTGCGTAATATAAAACTGCCGAGGTTTTTGTGAGGGCAAAAAAAATTTTTTTTTTTCGTTAAGGATAGAAAACATTAACAAAAGTCATTCATACTAAGAACCTAAATCTATTTGATTTCCATTAATAACCAGCCTATAATATTTGAATTGGTATAATCTATAAATAAGGTGAGTAAAATTGAATTTGCGCCATACATTTTTCATCCAACTATTCATTCATGCAGATAATTAAATAGTGTACGTGAAACTAATTTATTGATGTCGAAAGAAAAAATATTTTTTCTGTTTACGTTTTCTTTCCAATTTACCTTTATTCTAACATCCGACAACTTGGTAACTATTTATATTTCCAATAAACTAATTTGATGAACTTTTAAATGCTTCTTCCCCCCTTGTTTTTGGAGGTTAGCTTGTTCAGTGTATAACATCCCATCTTCCTCTTTGTCTATGATAACTTTTTATTTGCCTTAATTATTTCTGCTACTCCTGTTTCTTGGCTGTTTCACACACTACCATAATTGATGAATTTTAGCATTTAAGAGGTGATGTCTTTAGTTTTGAAAAACTTCTAGCAAGGAAAGAAATTTGCAAATGATGGAAAAAGACCATTTCAAATAAACCAACAAAGATAGGGAGAAAGTTTAACTATTTGTTCTTCAATTTTATCACCTTTTATTCTTTTCTTTTTCTCTTTAGTTGTCTTTTTTTTTTTTTTTTTTTTTGCAACATAAATCTAATAATTCATTTTCGTAAACCGAATCACAAATGTGCGGTCAACTTTGTACTCGTTTTGTGGATCTAAAAGATGCATAATATTGTCAAGGTTGCTAAAGTAACTTATTTTTGTACTTTTATTTCTTTGTAATTACAAAGAGATAGTAGTTTCCCAAATTCTAAACCAAACCAAATTAAGACTTTTATAACTAAAAAAAGAAAAACAATTATGAACTTGGAATTTTTTATCCTCCACAAATGACATATTGAAAGGAAAAATACAATTTATTTTGGAAGAAGACATGGAATAATAAATTTTTTGAGACGTAAAAAAGAAAATTCAAAAAATTGATAAAACAAGCAAGCACTCTTTAGGTGAATTTTAAACAAATTCTCTTAATTAAACAAATTGTGTATGCTTGATTTACTAGGTTTTATTTTTTAATTTAATAAATGAATTTAACACATTTCTCGTGACTTTTTACAGCACTAGTCAGAGCTAAATTAATGATGTTAATGTGAAAATATGTCAAAAACTAAAATGAGTTGAGCTTTCAATACAAGAACGTTTTCAACTAAAATGATAATTTCTTTATTGGATTTTGCATTTGTTTTTTCTTTAATATATTTTCTCAAAACATTGAAGATTTTAACACACGAGTTAAAAAATTTTTGTATTTCTAAATATGAGTTTTATGCATTTTGATGGCTCCATTTTTGTGGTTTTTCGTTAAAAGCATCGCTTTTGGTACCATGGTGAATTCATTATTTCGAGGGTAGAAAGGCAAGTATTAGCAGAAGATCTGTGATGTTTATTTTTAGGAAAAAGGTTATGTATACCATTTAGCATTCGAATCCCTTAAAAATAGCTTTCCAAAATATGAAATAATTAACGCATTAATTAATTAGGTGGTTTCTTATTTATGTTAAGGAGTGCCCAATTGACCAAGAAAAAAATTGAGTCCCCCCACATCCCCAACCTCAGAAATACACATAAAAAAATATAGGTTAAAATACAAAAAAAAAAAAAAAATCCCTTGTGGTTAAGCTAGCCTGCAAAAAAGTCCCTTATTAATTTGAAACAATAATGAAAATAGTCAAAATTAACGGAGGCAGATGACATGACACAATGACCCTAATATATATAAGCAATAAAAGACCTTCTAACAACTATCTTATTAAGCAAACTTACGGAAAAAACCCCTGTGATTAAACCAACCTATGGAAAAGTCCCCTATGGTTTCATGTTGTTTTTATTTATTTATTTACTTAGTTCATAGGAATAAGGTAAGTTGTATTGGAAGTTTTTATTTATTTATTTTATGTATAGAAATAAAGTGAGTTGTATTTAGGAGTTTTGGGTTGTTTTTGAAAATTTTATGAGTTCTAAAGTGTTTAATAGGTATATTAGCTAAAAAATTGAATTAAAAAATTGTTTTCCATGTCAAGCAACCTCAAACTCATTAATTTAAATGATTTTTGTTAATTTTCACATTAGTTCAAACCACGAGATACTGGATTGTATAATTTGAAACCACAAAAGCTTTTTCTGTAGATTTGCTTAACTACAGGGGCTTTTTCTATATTATAACTCTAAAGATATAATAGGTATATCAACTGAAAATTTATTTGTTTCCAGTACAGATACTCGCAAAAGAAATGCATGTATTTCAAACCCGTTCATTCAAACAATTTCCGTCGCTTTTTGAAATTAGTTCAAACCATGAGGTACCAGAGTGTATGTTTAGGAGGTTTTTCTGCATGTTCACTTAACCTTAACGGGCTTTCGTATATTTTACCCAACAATATATAAATAAGTATACTCCTATATGCCAAGGCAATGGTGGAATTGAATCTCAGGTTAAAATTTATAAGTTAACTCATTTCTCATCTCTTTAAATTAGCATATTAACTTTGCATGCATCACACCGCCTTCAGAAAGAAAATAAAGTCTTTAAATTGCACTTTGTTGGCATTCATACATGCATATATTAACTCTTTCCATACAACTACAAGTCAACTATTCGATTTGTGAAGAAATAAAAAAAGATACTGTGTAGCTGTAGAATCCTAGGTAAGAATATTCAAACATGTACTTTAATAATTCCAACCATGTTTAGCTTTTTGCACATCATTTTTTTTTTTTTTTTTTTGTCGACACAGGGGTGTCCGGGTCAAGACCCGAAGGTGGCCCGACTAATCCCCTGCAATCCGGGAGGAGAGGCCCCATCCCCCCGAACACGGTAACCCTGCACGACTCGAACCCCTGGCAAGCGCTCCTAAGGAGGCGTACGCTGCCAGATGAGCTGCCCAGGAGGGGCTTTGCACATCATTGACTTGCACAAATATTGACAAGTTTTTCAAGAAAGTAGTTAAGATGGTCAAAGAAGTAATTAGAGTCTAAAACTCTGAAGCTTCTTTATTCTAACATAACTAACATCTAATAACTTGGTAACTATATTTCAAATGAACTAATGCGATAAACTTTTAAATGCTTCTAACCCCGTTGTTTTTGGAGGTTGGATTCCCAACTTTTGTCTAACTTAAGTAGCTTGGTCAATGACAATGTTTTATTAGTAAGATGTTTCACCTGTAATTAACAAGTCATGAATTCGATTAATCAAGGGAAGTAACAAAATAAGTGGAAAACTACTACTGCTTATCTTAAAAAGAAAAAAAAAATTGTAGCTTGTTCAGTATAATACATCCATCTTTGTCTTTGGCTCTAAGCATATGATAACTTTTATTAGCCCTAACGGGCAACCCAAAAATCCCTCATGTTTCTTAG